CACTAGGCATGCCAGTGGAGTGGAAACATGCAAACAGGCAAAACAACCATAATTTTTTTTAAGTTTATGATACAAAACTTATAGATATTCTGGTGACCAGGGATGTAGCTCAGTTCACACTTTCCTCACAAGGACAAAGTCCTGGGTTCCCTCCCCAGCACCACATTACCTGCACAGAGTGGCACTTGGAAGGAAGAGGCAGGAAGGCCAGACATTAAAGATCATGTACATCTACATGGGGAGTTTGAGGCTAACACAAGGTACAAAAGATCCCACCTGTCTCAAAAATATGACAAAAACACAATAACAACAAAAAAAAACTCAAAATAACTCCTAGCTATGCAACTTGCCTGGAATGTACCCACAGCTAGAACAAAACAACTTGCTCTCCAAACACCATGGGTCATGTGACTGCATGCCTAAATACTACACAATCAGCAGTTAGAATCTTAGAATTCTTATTTTATGCATAACTCTTTCCAACACACTATTAATTCCAGATTATCTTTTCATTGACTTTCAGGAAATAGTGGTGAGTTAAGTTACTTTAAATGAAAAGAACTTTTTGTAAAAAAGAAATCATTTTTATTCAGGCTAAATCCAAGGGATTTGTAAAAGCCCGTGGCATCTATTCAAGTGTCTCACATGGGGAAGTTGGAGGGGGGGAAAAAATCAATGGCTCAGGCCCTCCCAGGGCTGACTTTGTCCATGCTCACTTTAAGGTTTTTAAGTGCTTACACACACAAGTACCAGTCCCCCTCCACGGACAGGAGACATTTATGCTCCTGAACAAGGAAGCCAGCTCCACTTGACTAGCTGGGGAAGAGAGCAAGCCACAAATGAGTATGGGCAGCATCAAGCTTTTAAGGTCTGATTCATTCAGTCACAAACTCCTCAGCTGAGCGCTTCTGTGTGGGGGAATGCATTCTCACTGCCAAGACGGCATCATTAAAAAAAGTTCTGTAATATCCTAGTCCACACTGCGCCTTTTGAAATGTATCTCCCACATAAAACTATCCTGAAACCCCTTATTTTCCCCAGAATCCACCATTCTCTCTTTGATGTATCAAATGCCCTTTGTCACACTACTTTTTGTTTGTTTATTTTTCTGTGTAGTCCTGGCTGTCCTGGAACTCTCTCTGTAGACCAGCCTGGCCTCAAATTCAGAGATCCACCTGCCTCTGCCTCCCGAGTGCTGGGATTAAAGCCGTGTGCCACTATCGCCCTGCTCAGACTTTACTATTTATACATATATTTGCACTGCCAAAGGAATTATAGGTGCTTTACATGTAAAAGAACAAGTAGTAACACAGGTCAAACCTTAGGTGTTGAGGGTAACCAGTGAGGAAAACAGTGCAGGCTATGGCGCTGTGAGGAATGCTGTACTAACTTCTAGATGCACACCCCTTGTGGTAAGCTAGTGGCAAGCACGGAGCAGGCCTAGAGGACTAGGAGGCAGAGGTAAGGCATGGCCTCACAGAGAGGGAGTATGGGCAAGGACATGACAGGCTGAGGAGAATCAGGTTAAGTCTAGAAGGCATGAAACATGGATGTAAAGTTTTGGTTACATGAGGTTCCAGAGAACATTCTAAAAAACATGCTTACAGTTAATGCTACTTTGACATTTTCCAATATGCTGAGAGAAGATCAAACTCAAATGATATGGTTTTCACAACTACAACAAAGGAAGACTAGGGATGGTGTGCACGTGTAGCTCCAGTTGCTTGCACGGACAGAAACACTTGCGTCCAGAAGTTCAAAGCTAGTGTCAGAAACAAAGCCAGATCCTATCTCAAAAGAAAAGAAAAAGAAAAGCATGAAACAGCATGGCCTATGGGGAGCTTGCTGTGAGCAGACCACTGACTGAAGAGGAAACAGCAGCTAGAGACCAGGCTAACAGCCAAGAAACACGGAGCCTTGGGGCCAAGGCTGGCACACTTACATTTCCTAGGCAATAGGGGAGCCACGGAGAAATAGGATGAGAGCTGTACTTTGGAGTAACAGAGGCAGCAGTGTGAGAACCTTAACAAGGTAGGCATGGAGGCTGATAAATTCTGATGTAGTCTAGGAAAGACCAAAAAGCCTGGGCTACTACCATGGTACAGGGACAGTTCTGCTTTCTGTAACACCAGTATCTGGAATTCTTCAGTTAATTCATCTGTTTACTTCCTGCTGTCAAAACTCTGGCACTCTTGTTCAATTATATTCCCACTTCTAGAGCAAAATCTTATTTACAGCAGGTGCTCAGTCAGTACTCCGAAGTCAACGAACCCTTGAGGACAGGAACCCTAGCTAAGTCCTATTTGTACTCCTTAACAACAGCGTGGAAGGCTGTGTGCAAAATGCTCAATAACATTTATTGGTGTGCTATCTTAAAGGTATATGTCCTGAACATTTTCAAATAATGACATCAGCTGGCATAGCTCAGTCAGTAGAGTGTGAGACCCCCGGTTTCATTCCCAGTGTCCCATAAACTGGGTGTGTTTGGCACACACCTGTAATCCCAGGACTTGGGTGGACAATGGAGGATCTGAAATTCAAGGTCATCGTTTGCTACAAAGGGAGTTTGCGGGCAACTGGAGCTAGAGAGCTTGTCTAAGAAAAAAGCCCCAAACGACCCAAATGACATTAAGTTTCTTGTCTAGAGAATTTCCAAACCATCAGCACTGCACAACCCACATGCGCATCAGGCAACCAGCTGGGCCCTTGGTATTCTGCAAATTGCTGCTGCCACACAAGCTGGCAACACCATGGCCTTCCTGTTCCGTGACAGCATTCACTCTCTTCATGAGGGTGGTACCTTATTCCCTAGATGGCATCATTCCCCATGGCTGCAGATACCAATGGAGGCAGATGATGCCACACTGCCTGATAGCCCAGTGGTGTTGTGGAGGGTCCCCATGGAAGAGGAACGGAAATTTAACTTCTCTTTCTATAAAGAAGAGAAAAGGGCAGTTAAATTCTGCAGTAGAACATGCCAGGCTCAAGCCATCGTTTGACAGACATATCACGACAGTCTGCACAAGTCCTCCAAATGGCAGAGTTTCCAGGCAACTGCCTGCTGCCTAACTACAGGGAGCCTTCCAATAGCATGGCGGCTTAGAAGAGCGCTCTGCACCTCCGAGGAACAACGTCCACAGGATGGCTTTTAGGGGGAGTAGGGCGGGGAGTCCATGCTGTACTCATTATTTTTTTTTTTCAGTGCTGAAGACTGAACCTTGAAACCATCAGGTAACCAACCACTCTGCCAGGTTTAGCTTTTTACTTGAAAACTGAGAATGATCTGTTCTGTCCAATAGGGTTCCCAGGGAACCCACATGTGATGGCTAATCTCATCTCAGTTGCCAACATTATGGGATCCAGAGTCCCCTGGGAGAAGAGTTGCAGGCATGCCTGTAATTTTGGCTGACTAGGTTAACTGAGGCATAAAGATCTACCACTGGTCCCTAGGCTAGGATCCTGGAATGCAGAGAGAAGCCAGTGAGTTAAACACAGGCATTCACCACGCTCTGCTTCTGCACCTGTGGATGCAGTGTAAGCCGCTGCCTCAAACTCCTACTGTCGGACCACCCCACCATGATGCAATGTAACTTTGCCCTGTAAGTTCAACAACAACAACAAAAAGCTATTCTCTTTTAAGTTGCTTTTATCAGGTTATCTTATCACAGCAACAAAAAAAGTAACATTATATAACACAATAAATACGGTGTCTGCTACCCAACGGCATTAATACTAGTTTCTTCCATGGGTGGGAATGAGAGATAAGTGAGGCACCATCTTGCATGGAACAGGCTTTATGGGGCACCACACACAAGAAGGAATAAATATATCGCTGGCACAGAAGCCATGGAATCAGACAACTAGCTGTGTCTGCCTCTGCTCTACTTGAGAAAGTTATAAAATGTGAGTGACAGAGTCTGTCCCAAGAACATACAGGAAGCTAATCTGTGTGCCAAGGGAGGAAACAGTACAGGATGAAGATTCTAAGTTGTTTGAAGCTCTTTCCCTAATTACCACTCATAATGAAAATTTAATTGCCAAGTTAAAAGCAAATTTTACTGTTTCTGTCAGAGAATCTCTGTAGAAACTGGCACATTTTGTTTGAACAGGAAATCAAAGTTGCTTTAATGCTTAAATGAGATCTAAGGAGCTGCAGCTGTTTCTTTGGGAATAACGAGCTTCCAGACTCTGCCTCATTCGGCTGCAGCAACTCTCAGCTTCAGCAAGAACAGGGAGCTGGTGCTCTGGCTTAGCTGTGGCTCACCCCTCTGGGTTCATTCCTTGAAGCTCCACGTGTTTGGTGATGCTAACAAGTGGGGCCTGGTGAGAGGCTCTTCGCTCGCTGGGGTAGTGCTCTTGGGAAGGATTAATGTAGCCACAGTGGGGTTCTTCGGTTGCTTTTTCACAGACGTTGTCAACAGTAGGGCCCCCAAGTCTTGAGCTCTGAGCCTCCAAAACCAGGAGCTAAATAAACCTCTGCTGGGCCTGCAAGATGGCTCATCATTTAAAAGCGCACAGCATGATGACCCGAGTTCAATCCTCAGAACCCACAGGACTCCCACAAGTTGTGCTCTGACCTCCACAAGCATCCCAGGGCACCTGTGCCCACCCTCAAATACTAAAGTTAAGAAATAAAAATAAATTCATAAACCTCTTTATTTCAAAGTAGACTGCCTCAGGTATATCCTTAGAGTAATAAAAATCAGATACTACAACTAGATAGCCCAGAGTAGTGGAGAGTATACAAATTCTAAGTGCCCAGTGCTGGGCCCTCTGGGGTGATATGGGGAGAGATGGCACAGAGAGGGTCTCTGGCATAGAGGCATTTAGCACACAGCAAAAGATAAGAGAAGCAGGAAACATTCCAAGATTAGGAGCTGCACTCAAGAAATATTAGGGTCCTGGGAAAATAGCAAGAGAGAAAAGGTGGTTCTCCCGAGGGTGCTCTCCTGTGGGTGCCTTCCCCCTGCGCCACGCGTGCCAGCCCACACAATGCTCACCTGTAAGGTGCTGGTGAGGAAGTTGTCCTGGGAGACAATGTCCACAAAGAAGTCGGCAGGGATCTCACCAAGCTGGTGGTACAGGACGGAGATGAGGCTGATGTACAGGCTGTGGTGCTTCACCATGGTGGCTTCTGAGCGACACAGCAGGTTCAGGAGCCGCTTCCAGTGCTCAAACGCCTCATACACATTGCCCAGCAGGAAACAGACAAAGGCAAACTGGAGTTCGCCTGCGAGGTACAGAGGAGAGCGTGGAGTACCAGCTGACACTTCCCCACAAGGTTTACAATGCCAACATCTACACTAGGCCAGAGCAACAGGGAACCCTGTACCCTTGTCACTCCAACAGAACTTAGAATGGGATTCTGTGTCCAACAAGTACTCAGTAAATACTTACTGAGTTGCTGTAGATTCAAACCATGGGATGCCACACTGGCTAGGCAGTTACTTAAAAATGGGCCACAGGGAAGAAGTAGTAAAATGCCATGCCTAGCATTGTAAAAGCCGGGCCCTCAGCCTGCCTGTCACAAGCACTAGATCTCATTAAAAGCAAAGCTGCAAGCTGGATGTGATAGCTCATGCTTTTAATACCTGCATTTGGAAGGCAGAGGCAAGCAGGTCTCTGAGTTCAAGGCCAGCCTGGTCTACAAATCTAGTCCAAAATAGCCAGGGCTAAACAGAGAAACACAGTCTAGAAAAAAAAAAAAAAAAAAAAAAAGAAAGAAAAGGAAAGCTGCCCAGGGCTAGAGAGGTGGCTCTAGGGTTTAGAGTATTTGCTGCTCTTCCAGAGGACTCAAGTACAGTTGATAGCACCCACTACAGGCAGCTCACAGCCACCTAGAACCCCTCGAGGTGCAGGGGATCTGACATCCTCTTCTGGCTCGAGAGCGTGCGCATGCATGTGTGTGTGTGCGCGCACGCACACACACACACACACACACACACACACACAATTAAAAAAAAATCCTAAAATAAAAAATAAAGCCAGGCATGGTGGCACATGACTTTAGCCCCAGCACTCAAGGAGACAGAGGCAGGTAGACAGCTGTGAGTGTGAGGCCAGCCTGCACAGCCTTGGCAGGACAGCTCTGTATGGCTCTGTGTAGCCAAGACTACAGAGAGAAACCCTTTCTTAAAAAACAAAAAACCAACCAAATAAGCAAAAAGAAATTAAGTAAAGCCGCCCACTTGTCACCTCAGAGATCCTGGCTAAGCAAAGATGATGGAGAATAGTACTTTACAATCAACTCTTAACACTTCTGTGTCACTGACATGGCCACATCAGTGGCTAGTATTTCCAGCTGACAGGACTCATTCTAGGGCTGGTGCAAAGCTGTTACACTCCTCAGCCCAGTTCCCCTAGGTCTTCCTTAAGATGAGGTCAAGGGCCTGCCTAGGATTGTCCGACTAAGGTTTTGAATAATGGAAGCAAGCTCTAACAGACGTGATGCTGGGCAGGAACACTTGTACAGTCTCCCCCAGCAGGACAGTCCTAAGTTCTTGTTCCAGGGCTAGCTCACCAGTCAGCTCGGTTTATTTAATCACAGGGCTCTGATTTCATCTCTGAGCAGCCTAGTGGATAAGAGCATGGGCTCTGGAGTCAAACCGCCCAGATTTAAACCTTACTCTATCACTTAGCAGCAGTGTGACCTAAGGCAAGATACTTAATCTACTTATGCCTTGATTTCCCTATCTGAGAATTATAATGAAGAGTAAATTACTACAGTGCATGCTAAACATTTAGAACAATATGGGACACAAAGCAGCACTCAAAATGCCAGTTCCCACTCCCAAGCTCCACTTGATGATACCTGTCTCCAAAAAAGACCTCATAATCCAGAAGCCACTGTAGGTGGGCAAGCAACTGGGGGGCTCTGCCTGGCAGGTAGACCGCATCTGAGCTGGGTATAGTTGTGCACTCAGGAGGTGGGGGCAGGGGAGTCATCGCCACCACAAGGTGCAGCCATCCGGGTTACAAAGCAAGGTCCTGACTCTAAATGAATATGCTCACACGGACTCACCAGACACAGTTGCTCTGGCTTCAAAGGTGGCCGTAAACTTAAGCTATGTCTATGTGGGCCATAAAAGAATGAATCAGCAAATACCACCTCAAATGCATGGTGTTTGATCTGTCACCATTAAGGACAGGAAAAACTAGTTCCCTGATCCCTGACTGTGCAATCTTTTCAAAACACAGTGAAGTTTTCTTTGCACAATGACTTCCTACTTTGTTTGGTTTTACCTGGTTAAACTGTGTAATTAATATTAGCTCATTCTTTTGTATTCGTAGCACTACTTTACTGTTTTTGATTTAGAGGGGCATATAAAGTACATATTATTTTAAATTAAGAGTGCAAGTGGCAATAAAACTATAAAAATAAAAGTCCTGATCTATGCCAGTGAAGAGAAACACTTTAAGAACTCAAGAGCAAACTGAGGTATCAGATGGGGCTTCTAGGAACACAGATCTGGCCAGAAGACCAGGAGCCTTGGGCTCCGATCTCAGTAACCACTCTATGGGTCAAATCCTTCTCTCCACAGGGCTAGGCTACACCAACGATGATCAAACACAGAATTATCTAAGATGCTCAAATTATTAGATGGACAGCCAGCTAGCCAAACTGATGGAGCCCTTAGAGATCTCTTGACTAAACTCTCTAGGCTAAGGGTGAAGATACGCATGTATGTCTAATGACTACTAATGAGTCTACTACAGGCGTCCTTTAAGAACACTGGACTAGATAACCCAAGATGAACCCTCTACTCTAGTGTCCTCCCCCAAAGCCGAGCTCCTTCTCACCAAGTACATCCTGGGGGTTGCCAGGGAACTGCTTGCTGAGCACAGTCTCGAGGGCATAGCTCAAGTCCATGCTGTGCCTTGTGATCTCTGCTGGTGTGGCACCTGCTGGGAACATTTGAGTGGGCAACTCCGAGAAGCGGATCTCAGTCCCAGCCCTGGGCTTCATCTCTGGCAGCCGGGCTAGGCCTTCCTGGTAGCTTTTGCACTCAGTGCCACAGAGGGGTAGATTCTGCTCCACCCTGTCCTTGGTGTGCTTCATGGAAAGCACGGGCAACACGTCTGAGAAGGCGCAGATCTGCCGGCTCTCAGGCTGCAGCTTCTCCACAGTGACCTCACTGATGAAGCTGGTGAGGGAGATCCATTTCTTGAGTGTAGCATATGGGTAAGGTCCCAGAAACTGGTCTAGCTCTGGGAGATTAGCTCTCATAGCATCTACTTCAGCCTCTGGAGCAGGAGACAAGTCTAGCTCTTCCTGAACCGCATTCCAGCGCAGGACAGTCAGCCCCCGCTGCTTCAGGCTAAGGAAGAAGCCCATCCGAGGGCCCACCTCCCTGGGATTGGCCTTGTCCACAGAGCTGTAGTGGAGGAAGTGGATGCCAGGGGGGATCATCTTCACACCCCGGAACTTGGGACCCACTTCCCAGGAGTTGTAGTCAATGCCAAACTCTGTCCCCCTGGGCATGTTCAGAATGACAACAGTGGCTCCTTCAAAGAAGAGTTGCTTAGCTAGCTCAGGATCCATCTGCATGGAAGCCATGGGGCCAGTGGGGGGTAACCTAAAGCAGGACTCTTTGTCTCCTAGAACAGCAGAGAAAAAAAGTGAACGAGTTGATCAGAATATGGTAAAAAGTCGCCTTCATTTCTTGTACATTCACTTTATGTCACGCACTGACACAGATCCCAACAGAATTAACTCCCTTAATCCATGACATGTCTAACAGATGAGGAAAACAAGGATCAAAGAGATTTGAGGGTTTTAAGGAGCAAGAGTCTTCATTCCACCACAACAGAGGCACCATTTAAGGAGAGGTGATAACGCTCAAGGTACACAGTGCCAAAACGAAATCCTGCCTGCTGGTACTGCAGGCTTGTGGCCACTGTACGCTCAGATATCGCCCTCTTATCAGAAGGTGAGGATGGAAAAAGCACACATGGCTCATTTTCAACCAGAACTATGCAAAAACCATCTTAAGCTACAATTCTACCAAAAACCTGCTACTGGAGAGTACATAAGATCTGGCAAAGATGTCAGGCATGGTGGCGCACACCTGTAATCCAGCACTTGGGGAGCCAGAGAACAGGTGGATCTCTGTGTGAGTTCGAGGCCACCCTAGTCTACAAAGCAAGTCCAGGACAGCCAAGGCTACACAAAGAAACCCTATCTCAAAAAACAAAACAAAACAACCAACCAAACAACAACAAAAAAATCTATCAAAGATGAGCAAATCAAATCAGTTACCTAATTTCCCATGAGCATCTAAAATTAACAAAAGTTTGAGGAGTGCTTCCTCAAAAACCTAGTTGAGAATGAGGGAAAATAAAGGACTAATCTCCTTGTTTAAAAACAACCTAGCAGGGTACAGTGGTATATACCTGTGTTCCTAATCCTTAGGGGATGGAGGCAGAAAAATCAGGAGTTCAAGATCATCCTTGAGACTGTCTCAGAAATCAAGAAATAAAACAAACATCTGATGGGAATATGGTTCCTTGGGTATGGTGCTTGTCTAATACACACAAAGAATCCTTAAAAAAAAAAATCTGTGGGAGGTATACGGAGGAGGTTTAGAAGTTAAAGTCTTTCTCAGATACATAGTGAATTTGAGGCCAGCCTGAAACACACACACATAAGACACTCTCTTAAAAACAAGCAAACAAAACAACCAAAACACCTAAAGTCCAGGGAACAACTCACCTACAGAGCCACAATTCATCCAGAGATTGACACGGAAGGCTTACAGTAAGTATTTGAGGAGGAGCTTAGAGTAAATTTTTTTTTTGTCCACATTTAAATTCCCTAAAGGGGGCTGGGTGCTGGCAAAGGCGCAGTTAGTAAAGGCACTTGCGCATAAGCCTGACTTGGATGGCCAGAACCCAGATAAAGGTAGAAGGAGAAGAGAACCTACAAGGTTGTCTAGCTTTCACTGGACTCAGCATGTGACACAGCACTCGCACACACAGTATTAAAAACAGCAGCTCCGCAGCAGATGCTGGCTCTGTGGTATGCTTCCATGAAGATGTGTGCTTGTATGTGCATGCAGTAACGGCCTAAAAGTCTTATGCCTGTAGTTCAGAGTCAAAAAAGTCTGAAACTTACAAATGGGTTGTGTTCTTCACAGTCCTGCGATGAAGTCACCTCCTCACCCTGGTCACCACCTCCCTAGCGCAGTGAGTTGTTGTCCCTCAATGCGTTCTCTATCTGGCTTCTCGTGTGGCTTTCGGGGGCATAAAGTCTCACTATGCATCAAAAACACTGTCCCCGAACCCAAGGTCTGTTCCAGCCACACTGGCTTCTTTCTGACCCTCAAACCAGAGGAAACTCTACCCACAGCACACTGTCATACAGTTTTGTTGTTGTTGTTCTTTCTTTGTTTTTAATCTTAGTCAAGTCCCTCGACTCGAGGCCAAGTCAAATGTTCCTGTTGCCGTTCCATTCTAGTGACAGAGGGGTAACTTTGTGTACTTGACTGAGGACTGTCATGCCACAAGCCTTGAGTCCTAGATCCCTAGAACAGACGCGATGCTTTAAAATTTAACTAACTACAATACGTTTTTAAATAAAGCCAGGAAGCTGGCGAGTGACTTACCGGAAGCCACTCAGAGAGGTGGGCAGAACCAGAGCGAGTGTGTTATAAGTTCTTTGGTCCCCAAGATCTATAGTTAAGGAAAAAAGTTACTTCGTGGGCCCCAGAAAGCCTGACCACAGTGTCAGGGTGTCTCAATGGGAAAGACCTCCTGAGACAGCAGCTCAGACTCGGCTGGTAAGATTGTGAGCCAAGAAGCGAAGTGGCCCGACCAAATCCAACGAAACAAGAGGACGAAAGAGGCACCAAGAGCCGACACTCACCTTATCGCCTCCAAACTCCGGCTCCGCGAACACCGGACGGAAGTTAGCGGCTTTTGCGCCGGATAGGTGCTACAGAAAAAGTGGTCCGGTGGAGCCCGCGGTCGCAGAAGAAATGGCCCGTGCTTACAGGTTCCTCTCCATAAAGCACTGCATTTTCTTGTCAGTGTTTCATTTTACCGCGTGCATTGTATCTAGCAACTTTAATTAAACTATGCACTTTATGTCCGCTTCCAGAAACATACTCACCAGTTGTGGTCCTTTGGTCCCCAGCAGACACGGGCACCAAAGCATGGTCCAGGTGTTGGCACGAAGTAGCCACAGTTAGACCGGCTCAGTCATGGTTGGCCCTCTTTAGCCACATTACTCTGCCCGTCAAAGTGTCTGACCCTAGGCAGAGTTTCAGAAACCAAGGCTGAAGAGAGAACTAGTCCCTCCAACAGCCACCACAGCAGTTTCTCGTACAGTGTTCACCTCTTGCAGACCTAACAGAATGCCACAGTCAAGTTATAAATGCTCACTGAGTGAGGAAACCTGCCTGTCGTTTTCTCCACTATTTCCTTAGACTCTAGCACATAGCCATCATAGATATACTGTGTATTTAATAACCACTAATAATATGATATAGTAAATGACTGTTTGTGGGCCTAGCCTTGTGCTAGGTGGTTCTGTAAGTCAGAATTCCACTAAGAACCAGAGCCGCTAAAATAGCATATGTCATGCATTGCAAAGAATTGCCTTATGTGGCAGTGACGGTTAGCTAAACAGCACCAAAATCTACAGGGAAGGCACTTGGACACTGCTTCTAATCTTTACACTGACTATAGCCAGTGTTTGACCCTGCCCTAATCCTGTACTGCCCACTTTACCTACCTGATTTTCAACCCTCTTGTTTATCTTTGAAGACAGGATTCTTAAAGGCCTTCAATCTCTGAGTTGACCGAGACAGGTTGGATCGAAGATGGCTGACAGAGCTGAAGACAAACAACCTCTAACTTCCCCGTCCTCCCTCTGCCTTTTTGGGGGCATAGCTCCAGCACAGCTGTCAGCGGAAAGGAGCCGTAAAAGCAGTGCCCAAATTCCTGGAAAACTCCGGCATTCCTGGAAAAATCAGGGTCTCTCCACCCCCTTTACTAGCCTCACTTCTTTTGTACTATACCTGCATCTCTCTAACCCCTGCAGGTCAAGGGGTTGATCTGAGTTTATCTCCCATTTCTGTTAACCAAGACTAAGTCTCCCGTGCTGCTAGATGTGTCCTTAGTCTTCTTACTGGTGCTACAATTCTTAGAGAAAAATGACCCAACATGGGAATAAAAATTTGGTAATTAGTATTCTTAATCTACAAAAAGATAAAACTGGGGTTTACAGAGGGGCTACAAACCCAGAGAGCACAGAAATTGGATGCAAAACATGATCTCCCCGGGGCTCTGATCCCTGTGCTGGTGTTCCTTGTCTGTCCTCTTCCCCAGTGACAGCTGAACACACCAATCTGTGCCACCCACAGTTTCACAATTCATCTCTTAGGGGGTTGCAGACTAGCTAGGTGATATGATCACGGTGAGTCACACTGGGCTGCCATAGTGTTAGCCAGAGGTGACATTCTCTGGTAGGCACATCAACCTCAAAGTGCCCTGTTACTTCTGCTTCTCTCCCCACCCCTCTCAACTCCCATCTTAGGAGCTGAGCTTTGTGATCTCCGAGCTTCCTGTTCTGGGTGGCTTCTCCATCTTTTTAGAGACTCGGGGCATTTAGCATTGGACATGATAGTTTTAAGATGTAAAGATGGTGGCCTAGAAATCCAACTTTGTGAACCCTATTGGTCCAAATCACAATTGCCCAACTTTGGCATCATTTCGTATTTGGAGTCAGGTAATTCTTGGTTGCAGACGTCTGTGCACTGGAAGAAGCTTAGCTGCAAATACAGGCTCCAATCTCTAGAACACTGGTCACAAAATGTGTCTAGAAACTGCTCCATCGCCCTTTCCAACTCGAGCTGAGAAACACATTGCTCTACAGGAACTATCCCAGCTTCTCCCCAGAAGCAGAAAGGCTAGGCCTACAGGTCCAGGAGGTGTGCAGTCCCAGTGTTTGTAAACTGAGTCCTTTTCCAGAACCCTAAAAGGGATCAGTCTTTAAAAGAAACATGCGAGGGAAATTCTGGGAAACAGTCACAAAGTTCCTTGCCGCAATTGTGTTTCCCAACAAACAGGACTCTGGGGAAGACAAGATTATTTTCACTGTGTAGCCTCTCCATCATTTAGTGAACTGGCTTCGCAGAGAAAAGTGGTTAATACTTAGTAGCTGAAACGGTGGGGAAAATGTTCACGATGTAAGTTTTAAAAATTTGGGGGATGGTATGCACAAGATGACTTCGACTCTGAAAAACAAATGTGTGTGTGGAGGGGGAGACTCGTTTTCTGAGATTTGGAGTGGTAAAGAAAGGTGATCTGGGGTGATAGTCTTGACAGGATATAATAGAAAATGTAGAATGTGCTCCTCAGATGACCTAAGGAAGAAATGTAGAATTTATATAGATTATGATTTTAATTTCAACCTCTACTCATTGCTTTATTTCAGTGCTTGAGTGTGTGTGTGTGTGTGTGTGTGTGTGTGTGTGTGTGTGTGTGAAAGGCAGCTTGTGTGCCATGATGTGCATGGAAAGATCAGAGGCCAACTCGCAGGACTCAGATCTCTCCTTCCACCATGTGGGTCCTGGGGATTGAACTTAGGTTGTCAGGCTTGGTGGCAAGTGCTTTTGCGTGACCTGCTGAGCCATTTCACCAGTTCCCCGATTTCCTTTCTTAATTATTTTCAAAGTGGTTTACTTTAGGGAAAAGAAAGTCGCTAATGGGATGGGTGGTAGGAGCATGTGCCGGGATTGCTGTGCACAACAATCACTTGGCTCCCATGGTGGGGGGTGCTCTTCTTTCAGAAAGATGAACTATACTGCACCTCCCTCCTTCAGATACTTGAGACCCAGATACTTACTGTCCCCTCTGCCTAGAAAGTTCTCATTGAAGTTTTTCATCTTTCTTGATCTCTTTATTCAGATCAAAAAAATCACCTCTTTAGGGAGAGAGCTATGGCTCAGAGGTTAAAAACACTGCTTGCTCTTCCAGAGTGCCTGTGTTCAATTCCCAGCAACCACATGATGGCTCATAACCATCCATAATAAGATCTGGTGCCCTCTGCTGGTCTGCAGGCACACATGCAGGCAGAATACTATATATACAATAAATAAATCTTAAAAAAAAAAAAGTTACCTCTCTAGGGAGTCTCTCACTGTCCAACCAGTTTTTCCCTTTGTGGTATTGGGGTTCACACATGCTAGGCAGGAACTCTACCACTGAGTGACACCCTCAACTTCAGCCACCTTGTTAAAGTGATCTCCTTCAGTGAACCCCCTTCCTCAGTGTGTCTCCTTCCAATTGCTGATTGTCTCTAACCAGTTTTTCCTGTCTCACTCTTTTCTCCACTGGACTGACAGCCTTTGACTAGGGAGCCTAAGGCAAGGCCTGGGCCACCGTGGGAACTCCAGACATTTGTTGATTTAAATTGTTCTACATTAGAGCTTGGCTTGGTGCATGCCTTTAATCTCAGCACTAAGGAGGCAGAGGCTGGTGGGTCTCTTTTGAGTTCCTGGCTGGGGCTATATGGTGAGATCCTATCTGAAAAACAAAAACAACAACAACAACAACAAAGTGTTCTACGTTGGGTGTCTCCACTCCAGTTCTATATGAGCTTGTACCAGCAGCTAAGGTCAGAGAGGAGAGACAGTGGGAGATAAGGGAGGCTGAGGGAGTCCGTGGTTCAGCATCAAACACATTTATTTCACTTTTATTGAGTATACAAGAACAGAGAGCACACGCATACAGCACGGAGCACTGAGGTGGGGGAGCGTGGGGACAGGAGAGGAGAGAGGGGAGTGAGTAAAAAGGAATAGGACAGCATTGCAGTTGGTTGTTAAGGTGCTTTTGAAAAAAATATAGATATATTTAGAGTGATGTCGCTCATGCAATTTCAGGCCAGTCTTGGTATGTGCTTGCAGGATTCAGAAACTGAAACAGGTCCTGGCACTTCCTATACCCTCACGTGGAAAGATTCACAGAAAGCAAAAGTAGAGGGAAAAGGGGGGAGGGGTGCATGAGACGCAGAGTGGGGATAAAGCCTCATTGTGTAACGAGTTTGCCCTGCTCGCTTAGTTAAAAGGGATGGGGTCACCCAGTGTCACGTGGTGAGTTAGGAGCTGCAAGGAGATGGCCACCCAGAACCTTGACTGCTCGCTGAGGCTTTTCTCACACTGTTACCTGGCCCCTGGATGGAGAGGTACCACAGAGAAGATGACACACACACACAAAAGCAAAAAGAAAAAGTAGGCTGAAGTCAGACAAGACAACGTCCTTATTCTCTATGGAGAGGAGAATGGGGAGCAAAGAGTGCCCTAGATTTTAGTCCCCTCCTCCCTGGGCAGGGTGCTGACTGCCTCTCTGGGAAGAAAAAAAAAAAAACGGTCAGAACATCTATGGAGCAGGTGTCTCCCTAAACCCTAATGTCCCACAAGCTAAGCTGGGTCATGTCACCCTTGCCCTGTAGCCCATGTGCAGGGCAGGCACAACTCTCCAAACAAAGATCCTCCCTCTGAGGTATGTATGCCCAGTGTGTGCAGGCCGAAGAGTTCCTGCAAAGACAGGTGAGGCCTGAGACTGATTCCGAGGGGATAGAGCTATTCCTGCTCTAGGCTCAGAAGCAGCAGAAACTTGCGTGCTATAAAGGGCAGGAAGGAGGTTTTGTGGCTTCTCCATCAAGAATGGCCAAAGATCCTGGAGCAGAGACAATGCACTGCCACTGGAGTGGTGTGGGCCCACGAGCCTGCACCGGGGGTGTATGGCTGACTCTGCTATCTAACAGCTTGGCTGTCTTCTCAGCTGCCACAGAGACAAAAGCTACTCTAGCTTCTTGACCTGTGTCAGACCAGCACCTGTAAGTAGGTAGGGTGTATATCGTAACTAATAAGCAAACCAAGAGGGCACATCTAGTCTGGGCCCTCCGACAAGACATTTCTCCTTAGTGTCTAATAAGGTGGAGGAAATGGAGAAGTTCTGAAATGAGCCAGCTCTGGTTAGGGATAGGCTTGTCCACTAGTTTCCCACGTCCCCCTTCTCCTGGCATGTTTCCCTTCCATGCTGAAACAGAGCCTGGCACAAACAGGCAATCATAAACATCTGTTGAATGAATGTATGAACTGCCTTGGCAGGACTAGGACATGGAATGAGATTGCTGTGGTATATTTTCACTCAGAAAGGGAGGGACATAGCAAGCAAGCCAGAAGCCTGCATGTGCCAGATTGCAACAGCAAGCTTGTGGCAGGGTCTTCTCCAAGGGCTCCTGTCATCTCAAGGCCATTTCTGAGCCTGGATACTACCAACCGAGGTCTTGCAAGCCAGGGTCTAACGCAGATAGAGCCAGTAGGGGGGCACTTCCTTATACCTGCTATCATTCTAGGGCAGGTGAGGCCTTTAGAAGTGCGGTGTGGGCCTACTACAGCCCTCCCTCTGTCCATTGCCTCTTTGTCATGGCCACTTTAGCTCGGGAAAAGGAGAATGAGTCACAGGATGAAAGCGGCACGGGGGAAGACTGGCTGGGCATTTCAGAAAACCAAGTGAGAGTCGCTGCTTTCTACCCTACCAGGGCACCACCTCCCTCAAGAGAAAGAACTGATTGTGACGAGGCGGTGAAGAGCAGGGCAGGACGTGGTGGAACACAAACAAAAACAAGGACCCTGGTAGTAGCAAAACAGAAAGAGAGGACTGAAAACCAAGGCAAGCCCCCTGGAGGTAGGAGGACTGACCTATGGGACCTCAGCAGCAGGAGTCCTGAGCACAGACCAGGCCCTGACAGCTACTGCTGGGGGAGAAGGCATCTTGGCCTGGCATATTCGGGACTACATCTGTGTCACTTCCTTCTGGCCTGGCCGAACCCTCACCTCTCTATGGAGGGTCCCCCACTCTCCCCACCGATCACCCAGTTACAAACACCACACACAGTTTCACTACACTGAATCTGTCAGCTCTACTGGGAGCCGGCCCCACCCAGAGTCTAGTGTCCTCGGCTGGGCCAGTTTGGCAAGATCTAGGAACCTTGGGATACACCAAATCACAGTCAGGTAATTGTAACTTGGAAATGTCAGCTGCATACTTACCAGCACAGTTTATTTTAATATTTGTTTCCTGTTACATGTAATATACATAACTTAAAAGCACAGTCATACAATCTCCTACGAGCTGCACCTCCGTCATGAGAAACCGGAAACATACAATGTCTACTTCCCTTCCCATGGCTTCCTTTTGCTCTTGTAGTCTTTTTTGTTTCCGATGAGGGTCATCTGCAGTGGCCCTCAGCAGGACCAGGACACAGAAGAGGAGGGTCGGGAGAGAGGCAAGAGGGAGCTGAGACAGAAAATGGAGACAAAATGAGCAGACGTCGAGGGTGTGGCTGGGAGGCAGAAGAACAAAGAGTGGATTTCTAAGCCCAGTATCAAGACCCAGCAAACAACATGGAGTGTCCCTCCTTCTCCTTCCCATGGGGGAGGCTTCCATTCTCTCTTGGAAACCAGTTGCCTGTGCATGTCTTGCTGCTGTGACTTCTCTTGCTTGGCTACATGATCTTTTATGTTTTTTCTCTTTCCTTTGCATTAGAGGGAGCAAGAGAGGCTGGAGAACAAAGAGGGCGCTCGTCCATCCTGGAGTGTGAGCAGCTGGGCTTCAAGAGGGTGTCTACAATCATCGCGGTCTGCTTTTGTAGTTTGCAGGAGATGGAGGTGAGGGAGCGAGAGATTATGATTGTTATTTATTTTCCCGGGGGAAAAAAAATTCCCACCAATTCAATTTGTCTGCAAAGGAAATGAAGGTTGTTGCCGATGTTGGTTGTCGCCATCAGCTGACTGCTCCGCCAGCCCCAGCAGCAGTGCGAGGACGCGGTGGTTCCTGTATATATATCTATATCTATATATATCTATATATATATATGCTTTCCCTTCCCAGTCTCTCATCAGTGACAGTACGTCGCAGCTGGGATGTTGGTGCTGTCGGAGAATCCAGAATGAAGGCCCCTTCTTAATGGTTCTCTGGCTTGGGTTGGACCAGACACGCCAGCATCTCTTCACGGAGGTCAGGATTCCTGGGTGCCAGAGGCAGGGGAATGGGGTGGCAGGTACAAAGGAAGGAAGAGAAGGGAAATTAGTGACTTTAGACACATGGCAAACTGTTCTAGCTACCCTTTGCCCTGCATTGCAGCCCAGAGAAAAACTCATCCAAGGCCACACAGCTCACTTGTGGCATCTAAGGAATGACCCACGTGTACCTGACTCTAGAGTCCGTGTGTTTGCTTGTTTGCTCCTGAGGAGGCAGCACCTTTTACTGAAAATCTTTTAAGTGGTCCTCTAACGTGAAGGCGCTATGGTCCCCATCATTTTCCTCTTCCTCCCTCGCTCCTCTCAGTTCTGCAGCTGTTTCACCCAGGTTGCAGGTCGTCTGGCTTTCCTTTGCTTTTCCCATTTATTCCCCATGGGCCTGCTGTGGCCTGGAGATTAAACTACAGACAGCAGTGCTTAAAGAAAAACAAAACAAAAACCCACCAGAGCCTGCAGTCCAACTAAACTATAGGTTTACCTATAGAAGTGTGGACTCCCTGCTTCCTGGCCTGGCTGCTCTGTAGCTGTGGGCAAGTGTCTCAGCCTCTCTAAGCCTCCATCAATCTCTGTAAACCGGGACCTGCCTTACGCAGGTAGAAACATGCCACAGAGTGGGCCTCACGTCTGGAGGGCCGAAGACGCACCTTGTTGCTATACTTGCTTCACTGACGCCCTTGCCCTGATTTCCCCAATAGCAAGAGCTATCAGTTACTGTCTTTGTTATCTCAGTGGCAACTGCTCAAAAACACTTCGTACACGGAACAGCATTCCTGACTCTCGTCACTCATATTGTATCAAGAATGTTCTAAGAATCATAAAAGAATCCTTCTTGGCTCATTTGACTGAGAGGAAAACTGAAGCCCAGGGGCTCAATGGCTTGGCGAGTTGGTGGCAGGATGATGGTGAGAACCCAAGGTTCCTATTTGGAAACAGGTCGATTCCTTCCCGGCCCTCCCCGACAGGTAAGGTGAGGAAGCTCCAGGCAGCCAGGTGAGTGCCTTCCTCTTGTTGGCAGTGTTTGGAGACAGATCCTCTCTGAGGGGGATAGGCCAGGAAGGGCCCAAACAATACTGTGCACAATTCATTCTTCTTAGATTAAGACAGCAGTTGATCGCTTACCGTGACCCACAGCAGTGACTGGCCTACCTGATTTGGAAGGCTCACTGTGTGCCAGCCACTCGGGTAATTACCAGATCTGTATAATCTCCATGAGACAAAGCCTATGGGAAGTGAGCATGGAAGGAACATATGTGGCTCTGGAGTCGACCACATTAGGCTGCCTCTAATCAGTTTATCCTGTTCTCAGCACTGCAGCTATGAGCAAGCCTGTTAAGGTCTCTAAGCATCTGTCAAATGAATGAGCAGATAGTAAGAAGCCTGTCACTCAGCACGGTGTAGGTACCCCATGAATAACAGCAATGGGGGAGCCGATACTGGTAAGAAAACACAGGATGCAGGAATCGCTTGGTAAGGTCTCAGAGCTGAGGGAAGGGAGAACCTGAAGCCAGGTGTGATGGTCCCTGCCTGGAATCCCGGCACTTAGGAAGGCCAGCAGGGAATATACTGAGATCAAGGGCAGCCTGGGCTATATAGCAAGACTTGCCACCAAAAAAGATAGGAAGGGATAAAGGAAGGCCTGAGATTTGAAATCGGGTCTGTAGGACTATGGAGTTCTTGGGGGGAGGGGTGGGGTACCAAGATACAGCTCTCCAGTGTTTTTCAAGCACCTTAAGAAGCAAAGGCTTTGTTTGTTTGTTTGTTTGTTTGTTTGTTTTTTAATTCAGAAAAGTCTTCTCCCCAGAATCAGTGGGAGTGGCCCTGCTAAGAGGCTAGGATGGCTCCTACTTGGCATTAACTTATAGCAAAGCATGTGGAAAGAGAAGGCAAGAGAGACTTGTGGCTCCCCAGAACATAAAGCGGATCGCTACAGAATGAGCTGGAAGAGAGAACAGGGGTATATCAGTGTGCCTGGGGAGAACGGCATTCAGTGAAGAACTGAAGAGGAGGAAATGAAGCAGCAGGGCTGATGTCAAAGACCGCAAGCACGCGGCAGGGCAGGGCAGATGTGGAGGCCGGGAGAAGAGGAAAGGGAAAGTCAGAGAGCCTGGGGCTCCAGCGGCAAACAGCCTCCAGGGGAAACACAGTTAAGAGTGAGAGGATGGAGGTGACGGAGGGAACAAACACAGACACCCAGAAAAGCACACAGTCAAAGGAATACACTGGAAAGGTGCTTGCTCCAGCTCTTCACTCTGCAAATACTGGAACTGAGCCCCCCTCCCCGCCCCACCCCAGAGAAGAAACTGACCCACTGGTCAGTGGCAGGGCCATAGGGCCAGGCCTTTGGAATCCCACCAGCACAGAGATCTTAGCGTCATGGCCCCTACATCTGGCTACTGGGGCCTTCACAAGGACTGATGTATAACTAAATAGTAATCCTCATGAAGTAGGGGTTCCAGGTTCACCCAGCTATTCCAGAGCAGACCATCCAAGGCAGCTTCCTCAGGGGACGTCACCAACTTTGTGCTAGCATGACCAGTGACTCACCCCCCACCACGCTGAGATTCAGAGAGGAGGAAAAACCAGGTGACGACAGTTTGCATGGAAGTCTGAGTTAAGGTTTTACTGTGGCCAGCTTACTCTCCTTCAGCATATACAATGGAAACAGACTGTGAGCACTGCGTGAAATTTACTTTCCTAGAAAGTACTTGCTCTCAATATCACTACTAAAAGTCTCAGATAGTTCTGTTTTTCTCAACTTTTCTAGACAAATAGAAAGTTTTAGTTTTTCAACTTTAAATCCTCTGTGTAGGAGGTACCTAGGAATGCATGCACACTCGTGAGCTGGAGGTCAGCTTTGAGTGCAGTGGTTTATCTGTGTGCGTTAGTTTTCGTTTGTTTGTGTGAGGCAGGGTCTCTCACCAGCCTGGAGCTCACCAAGCAGACCAAGCTGGCTGACTGGCAGGTCCCTGGCTCCATCTCCCGGCACTGGCATTGCAAGTGTGCACCACAGCACCCAGCTTTCTACAAGGGAGTTCTGGGGCTCAAACTCAGGTCCTCACAACTTCGTGGTAAACGCTTTATAAACTCAGCTACTTCCCCAACACTTAAATCCCAAATTTTAACTTAATAAAGAGCAAATGTGTGTGTGTGGTGGTTTGAATACGAATGGCCCCCACAGGCTCATATCTTTGAATGTTTAATCACGAGGGAGTGAAATTGTTTGAAAGGGCTATTCGAGGATTAGGAGATGTGGTCTTGTTAGAGGAAGTTGGGTGGGCAGGCTTTGAGGTTTCAAAAGCCCACACCGGGCCCAGACTCTATCTGTCTCTCTGTGTTGCTGTCTCTGACTATCTCTGTGTCTCTGTCTCTCTCTCTCAGCCTGCTGCCTGGGCATCAGGATGTAGCTCTCAACTCTTCCTCCAGCACCATGCCCACCATGCCTAGTGCCATGCTCCTCACCATGATGATAATGGACTAAAGCTCTGAGACTGTAAACAAGCCCCCAATTAAATGTTTTCTTTTATAACAGTTGCCTTGGTCATGGTATCTCTTCACAGCAGTAGAAGTGACCAAGACACACATGAAGTTCATGTTAATGACATATGTGGGGGCCTGGGCGTGTGGCAGAACACTTGCTGCTGTGTGACAAGTCCTCAGATTGATCCCCATTGCCTTAAATAACAAAGGGGCCTAGGAATGCAGCAGTTAGCAGAATGCTTGCCTAGTGCAGCAAGCTCCGAGCTTGATTTCCAGCACAACATAATATTGGGAGAGGTGGTGCCTGAAGTCTCATTGCTAGAGAGGTATAAGCAGGAGGATTAGGAGTTCAAGGTCATCCTTGGCTACCAAGTAAGATCAAGGGAAAGAAACCTAAGCTATATGAGAACCTGCCTCCAACGAAAACAAAACAGAAGCCAGGCATGGTCCTTAATCTCACCGCTTGGGAGGCAGAGGCAGGCTGATCTCTGAGTTTGAGGCCAGCCTGGTCTACAAAGTAAATCCCAGGACAGTCAGGGCTATACAGAGAAACCCTTTCTCAATGAAATGATACAAACAAACAAACAAACAAATAACCCCCCATTTATTAATCACTTTACTTACGTCAGTATATCCCTTTTCATTTGATAAATATTAAAATTCCCGAGATAGCTGACATTTTCACACTACATCTTTGAAATCCTACATGTATTTACCCTAAAGCACATCTCATCTTGACTGAGCCATTTCAAGTACCTGACGGCCATATTTGCCATTGACTGCCATATTGGACCGCACAGAACAAACACTGCCACCATTACACAAGTTCTTCTGGATGAGACCGATCCAGACCATGGGTCAGCATTCTTTCACATGTCAGGAAAACATGTCAGTACTTTCCCTCTGAGAAGGTGGCACTCAAAGAAAGAGAAGCATTCTTGTACCCCTCTAAAAAACAATTCAAGAAAAGGCAAAGAGGCAACCAGCTACTATTTGTAGGGCCTTTGAGGTGGTTTGTTCCTGCTGTAGTGTAATGTATGAGCTGTATACAGTGCACAGATGTAAGGGCAGCAAGAGCTTGCCTTTTGGGAGTGGTGCTGAGGAAATAGCCTGGTCTCACTCATGTTAAGCATCTGCGTATGATTAGGCTAAATCCCCAGCACTGAAAAAAAGTTGATCTATGTGTATCTTCATGTAGCCCACCCAGTTGGAAACATTCCCTCGAAAGTTTCCTTGTCTCTCTTCACTGTCACATCCTAGGGGTAATGCTATTCTGCTTTTCTTCCCAATGGGATAAAAATTTTGCCTGCTATTCACTTCCAGTGAATGGAATCACAAAGCTGAGATTTTTGTCTTCTATGTCTGATAAAATTCAGGGAGCTTCCAGAGAGGCAGAAGAACCCCTTCCACAGTGTAGGCTGCAAGAGGCCTGACATGTCCCCACACTGCACTATTGGAGACCTTGAAGGCCTTCAATGACATAGAAAGATGGTAGCGTTTCTGGGAATCTGGCCCTGGAGGGCCTGAGAAGTCCCAGGTTTGTAAGCAAGCAAAGCAGATGGTCAAAGACTATGGACATCACATTCCCTTAGCAATATTGCATCAGCGTGATGGAGAGAGTGACTCGGGATGGAAATGTGGTACCCAGACTGGTCTGTGCCTCCATTTATATCAGCTCCCCTCCCCGCCAATCCTCGGCAGCCTTTCCTTGCCCCTTGTGGACTTGCTTTTCTGGACTTGGGGTCTTAAATGCTAAAGAAACTGAGACACCATCTTCTCTTCCTCCTTCCCTTGGTCTGGAGTGGGGCCTCTGTCTCTCTCCTTGGAGACACAAGCCAAGTAGGTGAGGGTCACAGCTGTGCTACCGATCATGCTACCCAGGCTGTCAGTGGAAATGATGCTCCAAGGATAGTTACTGCTTCCTCCTCCTCCCCCACACTGCTGAGCCCCGGGGCCTTACCTGTGGCTTTTTGTCCCTCTCCTCTGGGGATGGGTCTGTTTCTCTGTAGACAACAGCTTTGGTTACCAGCATGTCTGGGTGCTGTAGTTTGGCTTCCTTGATGGCCAAAGCCAGGGCCTGGTGGGCAGAAGAGCGTAGTGAGGCACCATGAATAGTGACTATGAGAGAACCTGTCCCGATTGCACAGCTGGGGAAACTGAGACCCAGAAGGGGCCGGGTTAAAGAGTTAGAGAAAGCGGCTCGAGTGTGAATCTTACAATCCCCTTACCTGAATGGGGTCAGCAAGGAATGGACGCCTTCTCTAACCAGAAGGGTAGTCGTCCACAGGTCACCCATTATAGGAGGGACTGGATACCAGGCTGTGCCCTGGAAATACTGTTTCCTAGCCCCATACCTGGTCTTGATCGACATCTTCATCCCCAGTAATGATGATTCGCTTCTCAATCCTTGTCTCAGAAAACCCTCCCTTCACAGTCTGCAGAGAGACAGAAGCAGAGGGCAGGGGAAAGAAAGGTGAGGTCGCTCTTAGGTCTGCTGAGACAGGAGGCCTACACACCTCAGCCTCAGTCAACTGAGGAGGCTGGGAGACAGCAGATCATGCCTTTCCTGGCCTCCTCAGCATTGCCCTTTTCTGGTTTGGGGACTTCGGACTGTAGCTCCTTCGGGGATTGTTACCTCCCCCCCCAGCTACCAAACTGTCCCATTTATGTATTCCACACCCAGCTCAGACGCTGCTCCTTGGCTGGCAGAGTTGCAAGGCCTCCTTTCTGGCCCTCCCCGAACACTGACTCTGTGTCTCTCATGGTCTTGGGCCTTTGCATGGTGCTGAGCTGCGTGCGCAGGGTCCTGCTCACCTCTCCAGGCTTCGAGCTCTGGAGAACGAGGCTTGTATTTTGACCACCTTGGTATCCCCTCCTCACCCAGTATCTTTCCCAGTCTGACCTGGATGTAGCTCTGTAGTTGGATGAACACATGAATGAAATGTGAATGGTGACAAGGCTCTACCTCATATGACTCGGAACAATCCAACAAAGAGACTTTATTACCTCTACCATTCTCTCAGGGAATGAGGCTTGGAAGTAGAGGATGGGGCAGGGCCTAACTGTTTGGCATATTCAAGAAGGATGTGACCGAAGGAAATCATAGCTGGAGGTGAGCAAGGGTGAACAGAAAGCCTCAAGCGGTAAAGAGCAGAGAAGCTTTTTCTGAGCTATATTCAATGTGGGGTGAGCCATGTAAGGCGTTCCCATAAAGCCAGCAGGAAACTCAGTGCTGCTCTCTCATGTCTTTTGAGAGGTTGCTTCTTGGGAAATGTGTCAAGGTGCCAAAGGTACAAGGTTGCAGGCAGGGCCCTGCAGAGTGTGGACAAAGGGACAGTGCTACCGATGGCACTCTCCCTTAGGTGGCTCAGCTGGACCCTCAGATCGACACCTGTGCTTTGCTTGGCTCCTCAGCCTTCCAGCCGTGGCTGGGCCCCTCCTGATTTCCCTGGCCACTCAGCTGGGAACTTGTTGCAGCCTCCCAGATTGCAGCCTTTTTTAATTCCTTGGCTATCACAGCTGATTAACCCCCTCCTCCAGGAATGCCTCCCTCCTGTGGCCTGTGCTCTTCTGTCTCTAGCTCCCACCTGGCCCAAGCCCTCAGCCCAGGCCTCAGTTCTTATCAAGCACTCTAGAACTCTCCTCCCTCTACTCCCCTGCACCTTCTTTCTTTCTTTCTTTCTTTGCATTGCTGGGAATCGAAACAACACCTTGTATACAACAGACAGACTCAGCCACTGAGCTCCAGTCCCAGCTCCAGTGAGCCTGTTTCCACTGATTCACTACCTATGTCAGAAATTTCCTCCAGAGCTCCAGTTTCCCTTAGACTAAGATCCTCCACAGTCAAATCATCCCCAGTGGCTGGTGCCTACCTCATCTGCCTCCATATTCTCTATTGCCTTGCCCCAAGTGCAACCTAATTTCCCAGCCCCCAAACTTCACACTACTTTCTGGTTTCCTACAAACACGCCTCACTTACATCACCTCCAGCCATCGGGGGGTGGGGGGTGGGGAGTCCAGTAAGGTTCAGGCTCACTAGCATTTGCTTAGCAAAGTAAACACACAGTGTCTGCCCCCGCCCCTTTGCTAGCATCCCTCCTGACTCCTTCACCCTCAGGTGTTCTGCAGGGAGAATACTGCTTTCCTCTCTCTCTTGCTTTGGGTGGGTGGGCAGGGAGGACAGTGTTTAGGGACTGATAGGGATTAAGCCTAGGGGCCTTGCCAGACCAGGACTATATACTACTGAGAGATATCTCCAGCCCTCTTTACTTTTAATGTTGAAACAGGGTCCCACTAAGTTGCCTGAGCTGGCCTGAACTTTCAGTCCCACAAGAGCTTCCTAAGCAGCTGGGATTCAAGGCCTTCGTTACCACGCTAAGCCAATAACAATTTTTTTTTCTTCCCAAATGATGCTCCCTAAGTTTGGGGCGCTTGCTGCTTGCCACTCTTCTGGATTCGCCTGGCTCTCAAGGCCAGTAAAATGCAAACATCAGTGTTCATCATTACTTTGGAGGACCATCTGCCAATGCTGTGTGCAAGGCCTACTCCTAAGACAGCAGGAGCACGGGACAATGCATTCAAGAACTGGCCAAGGTCCCCTCTGTGCCTTAGAAAACGGGGAGCCAAGGCTCAGCCCTGGAGATAACCTTCCCACCTGCAGCCCGCTGGGGCCCGGGAACCTGCTTCTACTCACTTTGGTGACATGGGTGGTGGTGGAGGTGGAGAGGGTTTCCGCGGTGGCGCCGTACGTGCTGGTGAGGACATCTTTCCCGATGATCTGCAGAATACAACCACCCCCACCCCAGGGTCAGGTCAGGGCGCTGGGCTCTGAAGGGGCAGGCAGGGCTAGGGAAAATTTCCCAGAAATAAGCAGGGCCCCCATGAAGGTGAAGCATGGAAGCCAAGATGCTCAGAATCATTCATTCTTAGACAAGAATATCAAAACCTTTCCAAGTCCAGGGATCTATAACTCTTAGATCTTGAAATCCCTAAGGCCCACAGTCCTAACACCACCCTAGACTCTAAGCCTCCCAGAAGAATGGACAGATTTGTCCAGGGAGGAGACAGAGCCCCACGCCCACCCCACCCACTGGGCTCTCATCTTGTCACAGGCAGGAACATGCTCTCGCTGGACTAGACAGAGAACCACAAACAGAATCAAAGCACCGGAAAAGATCTCTCAGTGACAGACTTGGGGTTACTGCTGGGACAGCCACCAACACAACCCAGCCTGGAATCCAAGCCTGTGGACTCCTCGCTCCCTGTTCTTCCTCCTCTATACAGTGATGTAGCTACGTGTGTACGTGTCTGCGTGCACATGTGTGTATGTGTCCCGTTTACCCCCGGCCCTGATGCCGATGCTTTGGTTACATGGGGAGGCACTGATGGGCACCTTGGGCACCTGCAATGGTCCTGAGCCCCTCGCTGCACTTCCTGTGGGCTGTGTGCCCGCGTCCTCAGCTCTAAGTCCCCTAGCCTGAGCTGGCCCTGCCTACTTACCGGTGAAAGAGAACGGATTTCCGTGGCCACCGTCTGTGGGCCTGGGATCATGGCAGCTGCCCCCTTCCCGGACTTGAGACTGTTCTCCTGGGGAGACAATAGTGCTCAGATGGCCAGGTCTCAGGTCAAGAGGCCTCCAGGCTAGGCAGGGCGTGTGGCCGTGTGGTTATCGTCACCATAGGGTTGAGAAGTAACACAGAGGCAGGAAGCTGAGGCATTCACCCCCCACTTACTCAGTCCCACACGCTTGCACACTCGCTCACACACTCACTCAACAGAGATTACTGAATCCCTGCTATTTGGGAAGTCATGGCGAACAAGATACAGCCTTGCTCTCTGGAAGCACTGAAGGGAGTTAGGATGCCCAGGCTCTTGTTCTGGACCTTCTGTGCACCCTGAGGCAGGGCCACTTCCTCCCTACTTGTCTGCGAAAGAAAGGATCTTTGCCTATTCCGTGGCACTCTTATGAGAACAAAGGTAAAGGGGTTTTGTAAACCAAAAGCTGCCGGTAAGTGAAAGAGCGTGAGTGGATGGATCACGTGAGTACTGCCTGGTACCCCTAGGTACTCCATTAGGTATGTGCATCCTCGAGATTTCATTCACCCTTCCAAACCACTGAGAGCCAAGCCTTGGTAGCAGTCCTGTTCTACAGAGGACACACGGGAGGGGAGCCTAGAGTATGTGGCTTGCTCAAGTCTCGAGGCAAGACTGTTAACTCCTGACCTGGGCAGCTGCAGCACTGCTAGGTGCTCATGGCCTGTGCCAGCACTCTGCCCTTGGAGCTGTCCCGCTTGAGCCAGCTCCCCCGGTCTTCTCCTGGATTCTAACTGCTAGATCTCCCTGGAATTGTCCTTGGTGTAAGGTATCTGGCCAAGGGATACTAAGTTTCTATTGTTTCATTCCTGCAGTCTGCAGCTTGCCTTTGTTATTCGGGTCTCCGACAAATGGACCCAGGTCTTGCTGTGCATGGCAAGGACCCGGACCACTGACTTCCTGCTGAAGCAGACCTTCTGCTCCGCCCTTGCCTCTGCCGCACCTGTCGCTGGCCAGGTCACTCAGCACACCATCAAGAGGCATATTCCTTGCAGCATCTTGGATTCCAGACTGCAAAGGCCATTTGTAGCCATGTTTTCTCTCTCTGGCTTAGGGAATGGCCACCGTCTCTGAGTCCTTCTGTCACTCAGACTGTGCTCACATAAAGTCTCTTATTCTCTGTCTTCCCTCTTGTCACTGAGGCCAGTGTCCAAAGCTTACCTCCATCTTTGCAGTGAAGACAGGAGCCACTAAATGGGGTACAGGTTGTTCAAACTCTAGCCTCTTCCCTCTCCCTGCATCCGTAGCCATGTCCACCCTTCAACTCAAGGAAGCAGTTCCTCTCCCTGAGCAAGGCAAGCCCACGATCGTTCCTCAGGGCTCCCCTCTGTCCACCCTCAGGTACCCAGGGCAGCCTCCTGCCTCACTGATGCCACAGCCTCCTGCCTCTACCTGTGTTGTCCCAGATCTTTCTTGAACCCCAAATCTTCAAAACCAATTGTCTTCTGAGCCTTTCCCCGGAAACGCCCCATACGTCCACCTCATTCCGGTCAGTTCAGCAGTGGGGCTGGCTGCTGGATCCCAACATACAAGCTTAACACTCCGCTCACGCTACACTGCCGGCATCACCTGGAGGGTGATGGAAGGCTTGTGAACACAGATTGCCAGGATCCCCGGGGATTCTGAACTAGGCTTTTTGAGCAGGGTGAGGAATGTGCCTTTTCTCACAGGTTCCTGAGTGACACCGTAAGAGCCCCTGGCTAGCAAACACCGCCCTTGGCCCCTCCGCTCTGTCTCCTGAACATGCTCCCAGTGACCAAATACTGTACTTTCCTGCTCCTAGACTTCCTAGTCTCCCCGCCCCTACCCCCCGTTCTCTGCCTCACCTGCCTTCTTGAACCCTGGCAGTTCTTCAGCTAGACCCCAGCCCTTTAGACAGGTTCCCACCTTCCCTTTCTGTCCTCACGTGGGCCCCAGAGTAGAGAGAGACACTGTTTCCTCCAGTGCCCAATTCACAGTGCCTGGCACAGCACTTCACACATCGTGGGTGTTCAATAAACATTTACTAAAGGAAGAAAAGAGGCAGGAAGGAGCGAGGGAGAGAGCAAGGGAAGGCCAAACTCCACGCATGCTGGTAATTTAACAGACACACACAGCCAATGACTCGCTTCTGCTCTAAAAACACCATTCCCCTGTTGTCTCCGGAACGAAGTTTAAACCACCTGACATGGCACGGGAAACACGTCTTTGCAGCCTCTCCCCCTCCTGTGCACATCTGCCAGCCACATGTGTTTCTTCACATCCCTGTCCTCACACCTGCTCTCACCGCCTGCAAGCCTTTCCCGAAGGCCACGCCTCACTCCATCCGTCCCTTACAGGCCCACTGTCCCTGCCCAGGTGACGCCTTCCCGCCATCCTCCTAGCAGAGGTGTCACTCACTCATGGCTTCCTTCCAGTGGTCCCTAGGGTGACTTTGCTGCACTGCTTCATGAGGGCAGGAAAGAGACAGCAGCAGCTGACTTCTGGAGACGCTAGGGCCAGGCATTGTTTGGGGGGGCTCTGCACAGGGTTCTTACTCCTTCCCATAGGAACCCCTCGAGGCTCCCACTCCACTTTACAGATGTGGAAATGAGGGCTTAGAGAGGTTCCGGTGACTTGCCCGAGGTCATCCAGCCAGGAAGGGAGAAGGTGGGCCTTGCTCATCACTGTGTGCCCAAGAGCTACATACATGACAGGCACTGGTGATGCCAAGTGAACAAATGGACCCTAGTGGGCAGGGTAGCTTCTGCATCGCTGTATCCCTGTGCTAGGCAGAGGCTCATCAATGTTTTCGGAACAAATGAATGGATGGATGGATGGATGAGGAAATGAATGAAATTACACTCTACTCACCATAAAGACAAATTTAAATTTAGCCTCACACGGATCTCAATGCCTCAGAGTAATAATTTGGAGCGAGAGAAAGAACTGAGTGATCAGGCGCGTGCCCGGTGCCATCGGGAACCAGGCTGGGTTACTACCCAGGGGTCTGTTTACTTAAAACCCACCTGCTGAGGCATCTGACTTAGGTCAGGGGTTTGGACACGGGAAGTCATTCAAAAACAACTCTCAATACCTCAAGAACGATCCGGCTCAGGCATTGCTACACTCTGTAGCCCCAGATCCACAGAGCTGATGTTCACACAGGTCAGGACAGGGGAGGAGCAGAGAGACTGAGAATGAAAGTGGAACTCCTGGTGTCAGAACACCTGAGACTAACCATGTGTATTGGTCATGTGACCTTGGGTTTGTCCCTTTACCCTCCTGAACCTAGGTTGTCTTGTTTGTGAAGGATGTAGAAGAAAGAAGAGTGGATAACCATAGCTAACCTGAAGGCCGAGTTTCTCAGGACACTGCCTGACATGATAACCTATGTGCTGAATGCTGTTTGCTCTCTTTCGCTGTTAAAGCTCCAGAGCAGCGGCTCTCAGCCTGCAGGTTCCAGCCCCACAGAGCTAGCACAGCAAACCCTGCATAGCCGTTACTTTACGATTCATAACAGTAGAAAACTATAGTGATAAAGTAACCATGAAATAATTTTATGGGGGGGTCACACAACATGAGGAGCTGTATTAAAGGGTCACAGTATTAGGAAGATTGAGAACCACTGCTCTAGAGTCTTGCAAGAAGCTGTGAGCCAGCCAGGCATGGCGGCACACGCCTTTAATATCAGCGCTCAGGAGGCAGAGGCAGGCAGATCCCTGTGAGCTAGAGTCCAGCCTGGTCTACAAAGGGAGTCCAGGTCAGCCAAAGCTATACAGAAAAACCCTATTTCAAAAAAACCAAACCAAAAAAAAAAAAAAAATTAAAAAATTAAAAAAAGCTGTGACCCACACAGAATGACGCTGACTCCTATTTTATAGACAAGGACACTCGAGGCCAAGGACTTTTCTTTACTGGTCAGACAGCAAATAAATAGCAAAATCCACAAGGTCCCTTAGAGGGTGTCTAAAAAACAAAGACAAAAAACAATAAATAAAGCCCCGAGTGTCCAACTCAGGTTCATTGCTGCCATCTACTGGCCGTGGAGAGAAAGCTGTCTGCAACACTGCAGGTTTAGATTTGCTGACTGCAGGATAGGGGTGGGATGGAGGCATTAGGGCAGGTAAGGGTCACTTGGAATTGCAAGATTCCCGAATGCCAAGAATCAGACGGTTCTACCCTCCCTCTCTTCCTGCACTCCTGGGATGGCGCAGATAACCGAGACTCCACTCAGGGGCCCCAGGAACTCCACTCCCTACATTACTCAATTTGGAGAACCAAAGCCTGACAACATTTAAGAGAGCAGCCAAGGTACCAGACACCAGGAATCTGGTCACCTGTCTCCCCACCATGAGGGCGGCTGAGGACTTCTGAAGCAGCTGCCAAGTTCTGGCTGTTGGGGGTTGAGGGAGAGTGAGGGGCAGGTCAGAGAGGGAGGCTTCCTGGCTTCCACTTACCATGGTGGTCGAGATGGTCTCTGTGGTGATGCAGGGGGGAGCAGTCATGAAGTCCTTCCCCATGGGGGCACCCCCATCAACCTGTGAGGCAGAGGAGGGAGCATCAGAGGTGAACGGACTCCGCAGACCTGCAGCATCTGTCATTCCCATTACAGAGTGACAGGCTGCGTGATCGGGTGAGCGGGCACACGCTGAGGGTGCTCTCGGAGCACCGCAGAGGGGCCTGAGGCTCCTACAGACTTCGTTTCAACCACTCTATTGGACAAAGAAAGAGCAACCATGCAAGCTGACGAATTCTCCCTAAGCTCTGACTTCGCAGTCCACAGAAAGTTGGTCTCTGATGTCATGTTTGTTGGGTTTTTGTTTATTTGTTTATTTGGTTGGTTTTTTTTTTTTTTTTTTCCAGACAGGGTTTCTCTGTGTAGCCCTGGCTGCCCTGGAACTCGCTCTGTAGAGCAGGCTGGCCTCGAACTCAGAGAGATCAGCCTGCCTCTGCTTTCCGAGTGCTGGGATTAAAGGTGTGCACCACCACTGTCCAGCTCTGTGTTGGCTAGTTTTATGTCAGTTTGACACAAGCTGAAATTTGGGAAGAGGGACTCTAAATTGGAAAACAAAGCAAAGCAAAAACAAAACAAAACAAAAAATGCCTCCACAAGATTGGCCTGTAGGCAAGTCTGTCAGGCATTCTCTTGATTAATGACTGCTGTGGGAGGCCCAGTCACTGGAGATGGGGCCATCCCTGGGCAGCTGGTCCTGGATGGCATAAGAAAGTAGGCTAAAGCTGGGTGGCACTGAGTAGGCACAAGCAGGCAGATCTCTGTGAGTTCAAAACCACAGAGTTAGTCCTAGAGGTAGTTCCACGACAGCAATGGATACACAGAGAAACCCTGTGTTTGAAAAAAAAAAAGAACGAAAGAAAAAAGGAAAGAAGAGAAGAGAAGAGAAGAGAAGAGAAGAGAAGAGAAGAGAAAAGAAAAGAAAAGAAAAGAAAAGAAAAGAAAAGAAAAGAAAAGAAAAGAAAA